TTTAGGGTTGTCGCTGGACGGGGTCAATGGGTGATCATTAAGGTTGCTGGGTATTTTAGGATTGAGGCAGAGGGTTGATTTGTCGGTGATGGGCAGTCGCCTGGTCTGGTTCGGTGTTCGGTGATTGAGTGGTTTCGCTGGGCAGTCGGTGTCGGGGATTGAGACGACTTCGCTGGTTTGGGTTTGGGCAGTCGATGATTGTTTGAGTGGTGGCTGTTTGGTGTGGTGGCTGGGTGGACGGAGTGGGATGTTTGCTGGCTGTCGGTGCTACTGGACAGTGTGGTGGTTGATGGCTGGTTACTGTTGCAATGTGAAGGAGGAGCAGCGGCTGGGTCTGTTTGGTTATGACGATTGGCGGAGGTTAGGGTTAGGGTTAGTGGCTCTGATACCAACTTGAGATAGTTGTGAATGAAAAGGGATACTCAAATTAAGAGTAGAACCCCGTATATATATCCAAAAATAATACAGAGTGACTTAAACATCCTTGTAGTTTAGGCAAAATATAAAAATCATAGTAAGGGTAAAAAAGGGAAAAGAAATCCTAATAAACCTAGACTATCTATACTCCAACAGAGGTTCGAGTTTTAAAGTTCACATTAAAAGTGATTAACCGTTATACTAGCCTCTAGACACTCTCCTTTATTTCCACGTTTTTTTCCTTTAGCAAAAAAATAAAGATCTCACATTGTGGTGTATATTGTTTTAGCTTGGTATATGTTTGTTTTGCATTCAAGAACCGTTTAGTTTGGTACATTGTAATGTCTATGTCCCGACAACCACATATGCCAATATCAATCATGAATCTAGGAGAGTCATCAATAGACATTTGAACCTGAATTCGACTGAATCTAATTAAGGAGGTATTAATCTAGACATTTGATTGATTTTTGAATTTGAATTCAATATGTCATACTTAAGGAATTTGAAATTTGACATATCGGTTATGAAGTTAAATTATGTATATATAAAAACACAACAATAGTTAAGATTGATCTAATAATATAAAAAAAAATTTCCAAATTTTTTTTTCGCCCAAAAACATGAACTTCTGGCACCTAATAACAGACAACTCAATCAATTTAAATGGATTCAATATCAACTTGGGAATTAGGAATGAATTGTTAGACGGAAACGTAATTGATATTTGGCACAAGTTGTTGGCCTGTCCAATGAGGTTTCACGAACAAAATTTTGTAAGAATTATCGTACAGAATCATAGTAAGATACCATTTTACTCGGTATCGATTCCCTTGATGTCTACATAAATAATATTTTTCAGAGCCCATATGCATGTGTAGGGCTGTCATGGGTCGTTGGCTTGCGGGATAGGTCGGCTCCGCCGGTGCCAACCCATGGTTCAGTCTATCCCCCAGCTAGGGTCGACATGGGAGTCAGTGAAGAGAGTCGTATGCTTTTATGTTTACAAACAAAATATAAATACTTCACTTAACAAACAATTTTGGGCACCTTTCACCTTTTCTTTTTCTTTTTTTATTCAACGATCAATGATGTTCTGGCCAGGTTAAATGTATCTCGATTAATCTCCTTTCTTGTCTAGTCAAATGCAAATTATCCATACCGGGATTAAGGTATTTATAGAAGATAAATATCTTATATTCTAACCTCAACGAATTGTTAAAATTCAAACGTAGAACGTTTGAGTTTACGGTTTAATTAAATTTTTTTCCTTTTGAAAGCCAACTCTTACGTGTGAGACCAAAATACAAATGAATAAGTCAAGAAAATTTTAAAAAACGGACGGTCTTAATTGTAGTTTTTCAGTCAAACATGGCAAACAATTGTATAGTCAATATGATTGGTGATATATATATATATATATATATATATATATATGAGATTTTACCTTTCCAAAACCAAATTTATGAGACGAGGGAAAAAACATGATCCTCGTATGTTAAATGATATGGTCAAATAACCAGTATGAGTTGATTTGGTAGCCAAATCGATCTATAAATCTACGCTTTTGAATTCAAGTTTCATTGGTCATATAAATTTTAAATTTGACTCCTTGCATAATTTGCAATTGATTGCGTATATACGATATTTATACTATGGAAAAAATTTCGCATTGGTGCCAAAAAAAAAAAAAAAATTTAGTCAAAGTCCTTGGCATGTGCATAGCAAGAACCAGTCTTCAACTGGGTTATATAATTTGGGATTTTTGGACTAAGAGAGTCCATTTAAACAGAGTCATTTTCCATTCTCATCTGGCTGGCTTTTCAGTATATATATAAAAGCTAGCCTACCATCCTTGAATGTCTTGGTTTATCATTATCAAAAATGCATTAACAATAGTGACTAACCACTAAACACCCATTAAAATTTTGATTATCAAACTATTAAATTCATCAATTCTATATGGATCTCATTTTAACCAACTGCATCCTATGTTATACACACTCTTTTAATAACAAGCTCCTCTTTTATATTCTCATAATTAGGTTTCATTTACAATCTATCTCATATCTTTTACATAAAATAATATTTTCAATAAGAATTGATAAGTAAAATGAATATAAAAATTTTAATGGAGTGAGAATAAGCAAGTAAAGAACTTCGGATTTGTTTTTTATTGAAAGAGTGTTAAGTAATTATTATTCTAATTGATACGTATCTACTGTTCAAAAAAATAATAATACGTATCTGAAACAAGCACATGGCAAAAAGAAATCTTGTTTAGCAATCTAATTTCAGCCACCAAACTTTCAAGCATGGTCAAATTCTCCCACCAACAAGGTTAGATGGTGCAGATCTTTTAAAACATCCAACCTAAAACTTTACGATATCGAGGGAAGACACCCACAAAACACGTATATCAATTCGAAAAGGCATTATATTATTACATGTGGGACTTGCTGTATACTATTTGCAGTAAATCTACCACTTCTTAGCTTGTCCATTGCCCTCCATAAGAGATTTCATATCCTCCATTCCTCACCGTCTAATTATTCAAGATATTTTTTTTTCTAATATTTTATTTTGCGGGTAATGTTAGACTTATCAAATAATAAAGCCAAAAAATAAAAACAAAGGATGTGAAGATGATATGTTGAATAATATTTAAATTTTAAAGTAGTAATAGTGGGATACAAAACACTATCATATAAGCCTCACATCATTTAATCTCTTTTTTTTAGTTTCATTATTTGGTCACTATAGCATTACTCATGTTTTTCTTGTCTTTGTTTTCACGTATTTGGTTAGTATAGCGTTACTCGTATTTTCGGTTCTATTATTTGGTCACTATAATATTACTCTACCCTTAAGGGTAACTCCAGTAGTAACAGAGACGAACTGTAAACTCGGACTTCTTGAATTTGAATTTTGATAAACTCTTCTTGAGATGTTAAACAAATGAGAAATTTATTTTTTATGAATACTCTAATCCTGACACAGTCGAGGTGTACATAAGATAATTCAAACACTCTTTACTGTTGAATAAAAATAGACTATACCATAATCGTATATTGTTATCTTTGTTTTTCACGTTTCTTTTGGAATTACGTGAGTCTGGAAAAATGACATCTCTTTAAATTGGTACCCAAATTTTTAGAATGCAGTGTATGAGAGACTCTTCGTACACTTGTACGATGTTTCTCTTTTGGAGTAATACTATTTAGACCTAAAAATTTGACATAATTTGTTGACATAATGATGTGATTTCATTAGAGTTATTGAATCAACACTAAATTCTAATATTTGATAGATCTTATAATTAATTTAATGATTACAGTAAATTAGATCTGTAATGAGGTCCAATACCATTGGTCTTGTCTTTTGTATGGTCCCCAATACTCACATGGTTTTTTTGGAAGGATTGGAGGCAATGAAAAGAGGTTGCTGGCAGGAACTACGTGAGGCTATGAAATAGAGGTACATATTATATTACACACATGTATTGAGGTACTATCACCTGTGGTGTTTGTTACACTTTTAATACAGAAGGTTTCATGTTATGCAAGTTTTTATTATTTTTTTTTAATGGTGAATCATCTTGATCACTTATTTTTTTCTTGTGTATTAATAAGTCTATTCAAAAACTACACTCATTTGTTAAACTTGGGTTTTATGTAGGGAGATTGAAACTCAAAATGTACAAATTTACGTCTAACTATTTGTTAGACAACCAAACCAACATGTGACTATTGATCTAATTCAAATTGCAATATTTCTTGTTGGGAAATCTAGATAAAAAAGGGAATCATCCCATGTAATTATAATAGTATAAGGTTAGAATAAAATATTCGTTGTTCAGTTGAATGATAAAAATAACGGATTTTTTTTATTACAATATGTCCAGTCAAGTTTGTGGTGACTATTTTCCTTGAACTCAAAGATTGCCTAATATTCAAGGACACTCTAAATTTGTATAAATAATGTCAAATGCCGAATTTGAAACCAGATTATTTATCCTAAATTCCTAATTAGTAGAAGGGTAAGTTTGCTTTGGTATCGTACTTGTATTAATCTCAACTATTAATTTTAAATTAAATGACTTAATACCATTAATAAAAAGATGATCACATTATTTGTATTGAAAAATGATATAAGCCAATATGAGTACCGATTCATGGAGAAAATATTGAAACATATTTATTTAAGGATATTACAATTTATTATTTGTTAACATATAAAAATATCAATTAAGATTTATATTAAAGTTTTATTAATAAAAAAGTTTAAATTATATATAATATGAGATGCATTATGGGGGAGAAACCCTCCCCCTCTATCAATATTATTTTGTGATAATGTCATATTATTTGATGTGTATTTTTATTCGGGTCAACCTAGCATTATTGTGAAAGAAATAAGGGATTATTATTATTGACTAAAGTTGATAAAATTTAAAAATTAGGAGGTCCAAAACAAGTAAATTATTATTTCAAGAAAGAAAAAAATAATATTGCAATAAATGCGCCAACCCCTCTCTCTCTCCTCTATAAAAAACTACCTAAACCTTCTCTTCACCTCTCAACCCAAGAAATCACCCCTCGACTACCACCGTCCACCATCAACACCTCTCTCTCTCTCCTCTCCCCGGTGACCCCAACCTGAAAATGGACGTTCGCCGGCGACTCACAACGCCACTCCACCAGGAGAAATCCGCCGCCGGCGAACATCTCAAACCCCACAAACTTCAGAAACAAACCTCCTCCATGAAAGCCTCCGATGCCCTTCCTCTTCCCCTTTACCTGACTAATGGGTTCTTCTTGTCGTTGTTCTTTTCAGTCATATATTTTCTTCTCCACCGGTGGCGTTTGAAGATCCGTAACTCCACACCCCTCCATGTCCTAACCTTCTCTGAGCTTGCCGCCCTGGCCGCATTGTTTGCTTCGGTTATCTATCTTCTGGGCTTTTTCGGAATAGGGTTTGTTCAATCTTTCATTACCAGAACACCCCATGAAAATTGGGATGTAGAGGATGATGAAAACATTGAAAATTTCATGCTGAAGGAGGACAGTCGCCGCGGCCCATGCGCCGCCGCAACGACAATTGGCTGTGCCATCCCTCCTCAACCCCAGGTTGTTCCCATGGTTCCTCCGGCGACAAAGGTGGCGACGGAGGTTGTGGAAAACCTAGTTGCACAGCCGACCGAGGAGGACGAACAGATTATCAAGTCGGTGGTGGCCGGAACAACTCCGTCGTACTCCTTGGAATCAAAACTAGGAGACTGCAAAAGAGCAGCTGCAATACGAAGAGAAGCATTGCAGCGACTCACCGGAAAATTCTTGACGGGGCTACCATTGGAGGGTTTTGACTACGAGTCAATCCTCGGTCAGTGCTGTGAAATGCCCGTGGGGTACGTGCAAATTCCAGTGGGTATTGCCGGGCCGTTGTTGCTCGACGGGAGGGAGTACTCGGTGCCGATGGCGACAACGGAGGGGTGTCTGGTGGCGAGCACCAACAGGGGTTGCAAAGCCATCTATGCCTCCGGTGGCGCCGTCAGCGTGCTTCTGAGGGACGCCATGACCAGAGCTCCCGTCGTCAGGTTCGCCACCGCCCAGAGGGCCGCCGAGTTGAAATTCTTCTTGGAGGATCCCATGAATTCCGACACCCTCGCCGTTGTTTTCAACAAGTGAGTACTTGAACTTCCAATTTCTTTGAAGGCCAAAAAAAACAAAAAAAAGAAGTTTAATTTTTCATAATTTGTTTTTTTGTGGGATAAATGTGCAATTTAGATTTCACCCTGTTGAGCAATTTGATTTATTTATCTGTAACTTTTCTTTTTAAGTTTTCTCCCAGAAGAAATTTAATATTTGAATTTAAAATACTTATTTAATTTATTAATTTAATTCACCATAATTATTATTAAACAAGTAATGGATCTTAATTAATACTCAAATTCACAATTAAAATTAATTAAATTATTATTTTAAGACCAAATAGTATAGTCCAAATAATATTGCTCTCTCTATGATCTTATGAAAATTGAGGGATTCAACTTCCAATTATTTTATTGGTGGTGGTTGGTGAGGATAACAATTATATGTGCAGTTGGGTTTCTCTTCTTACTTTTATGTTTGACGTGGCATTACTTTTACAATTTTTTAATATTTTTATACGAGTAACGTTAAACTTGTCAAAATTTTTACTAAAAATGGCTATTACTAAGTTAGTTGGCAACTCCATATCCAATCAAAAACATTTGATAAAAACACTGTTTTTTTGGTAAAAATTTTAGTATACATAGTATTTCCCTTTTTATATACACAAGGCTTGAAACTACTCTCTTTTTATTGCTACTTTCTTCTTCTTATTCTCTTTTTTTACTGTATACAATTTCAGTTTTTCATCTTATTGCATGAAATTATAATATTTGCTTAATCTTGCCATGGGTAAGTAATACTAGTGACTTATACTTTGTTTGGTAGGAAAGATGAAAAAATAGGAGAGATACAATTTCTATCTTTCAAAGATGGAAAGTAGAAATGATACACTTTTTTTTTTTTTTCTGTTTGGTTGGATGGATGAAAAATAAAAATGATTATTTTTTTTTAATTTTTTTGGTCAAATATTAGGGGTGACAATCGAGTGATTTCGTGTCGTGTCGTGTCATGTCAGATTTGTGTTGAGTCATAAAATTATGAGTCTTTTATGTTTCTTGTTTGCGTGTCAGGTTATTTTCAAGTTCGTGTCACAAAATTCGTATCCAGTTCGAGTCGTGTCATCGTGTTGAGTCAAAAATTTTCATTCTTAATTAAGATGAAAAAAGTATTTTTTCTTTATTTAAAATTTTGAAATTAATGTGTACATAATATATAAACAAATAAGATATACATTTCAACCCAAATAATTAACTTTTTATCAACTTTCCTTCTTATTTTGAAGGGATTGATTTTGGTGAGTTGGAAGGAAAATTAATTCATCCTTTTTATTTTTCTTCCTTACCAAAACATGATATTTTATTTATTTCTCTAACTTTCTATCCTTCCATTTTTTTATCATACCACCAACAGAGCATTAGCTTCTCTCAAATTCAAAACTAAAAATTTGGCTTAATTTATTAATATATTAATGTTTCGAGTAATATGATACCAATGAAGAAATTCAACGTCAAAACTAAGAATAATACTATTGAAGCAAGTCTCTATTACTTGTATCATGATTATATTTGTTTTTGGCATGGTTCTAAATGTGCAGATCGAGCAGATTTGCAAAGTTACAAGGCATACATTGTGCAATAGCAGGGAAGAACCTGTACATAAGATTTAGCTGCAGCACTGGTGATGCAATGGGAATGAACATGGTCTCCAAAGGGGTTCAGAATGTCCTCGATTTCCTTCAGAATGATTTCCCTGACATGGATGTCATCGGCATCTCTGGTAAACCACCCTCCTCCACTTTCATACACAACCCTAATTTTTTTTCCCAATATATCACAATAGCAATGGCCAATAATTATTGTTACTAACGAACACTTGAGTATTATGTGGTTCGGCTTGAAAGCCAAAGCCAATGGGCAAAATTATGGTGTGAAAAAGTTTACAATAAAAAATAAATATCACAATAAATTCTCTGGAAATGTTTTATATTGAATTAGAATTTTGATGTCAATCTTTATGGGTGATTCAGTGGTTAAATATGACCTTTGGTAACTCAGATGAAGGTCTTAGATTTAATCTTTTCTCATACCCCCAACGGTTAGTCACCCTTGTTTCAAGGACATATTCTAATCCAACTCGAGTTACGGTAGAAACTACTGATTGAAAGAGTAATCGGTACACTGTAGCTAAAAAAAAAGAAAAATTGACATCCTCATGTTCTGGAATTATTGTTATTAAAGTATCATCTCATTTAAAAGGGGATAGTATAATATAAAGATTAAGCTTATTTAAAAGCGTAAGATCATGTGCGGGTCAGATTTTTTTTTAATAAGATTCAAAAGTACACCATCCCTGTTGTGATACCAAAGTTAAACTGTCAATCCATTTAGAAATTCGAACATTTAGGATAGATGGTGGTTTAATACGAGAATTTAGCATTAATATGATATTTTTTCAACAGAGTCCCTGCTACATGTGGAATGATCTAACTAAGATGTTTGACACCATTTGGACAGGAAATTATTGCTCAGACAAAAAGCCAGCAGCAGTGAACTGGATAGAAGGGAGAGGCAAGTCGGTGGTGTGCGAGGCAATCATCAGAGAAGAGGTGGTGAAGAAGGTGTTGAAGACCAATGTGGCCGCCTTGGTCGAACTCAACATGCTTAAAAACCTCACAGGCTCAGCCGTGGCCGGTGCTCTCGGTGGCTTCAACGCCCACGCCAGCAACATTGTCTCCGCCGTGTACTTGGCCACCGGCCAAGACCCGGCTCAAAATGTGGAGAGCTCTCACTGCATCACCATGATGGAAGCTGTCAACGACGGCAAGGACCTTCATGTCTCTGTCACCATGCCTTCCATTGAGGTAATTAAAGAAATTTATTTTTCAGCTTGATATGAACTTAAAAATAACACGATCAATTAGATCAGTTAGTATGAGTAGTAAGTAAGTTAGGATACACAACACAATAATTTATGAAAATAAAACACAATACCGGTTCAAATCATTTATATACAATACTTAATCTTATAACTTACATTTCAAATCTGTCTATTAACTTATATTTCAACCACTTAGTTTCATTATAATTACATTAAAAAAATACATACTCGTCATGCATTTGACAAATAATCCTAGTCTATATGTGTGTGTATATATATGTATATATATATATACACACAAGCACACTCAGGAAAATTGTGTTTGAATGGATGTTGGTGATCGTTAAATAAATCTATTTGAGACCGTCAGATGAATTTATTAAAATCTATCTTATTTTATATTATAAATATGTGTATATATATTTATACAAGCCAAAGTGGATGACGACAACAACTTTGGACTCTTCATATCTCAATTATGACGGGTGAATAACACAATTAGGTCTTTTTTCTCTCTCTTTTGTTTTTAACTGTCGGTCCGAATTAATTTACGCACAATTCAATTAACTAGGATTTTTTACGTTAGCTATGAAAGTCCTTAACAATTGTACATTGTACTGTTAAAAAATAAATTTGGACAAAATTCTGACAGAACTAAATGTATTTTAATGATGAGCAGAATCTATGCACTTTCACTTCGATGTGATGATAAAATGTATCTTGTGGGATATTCTCTAGTTAGGCACAGTTTTTTGGCCTTGTGAAGTAAGGGTACCTCCCATACAATTTAAGTGGGGCCACAGTAATATATAACAATTAATGATTTCATGATGACATGGTATAAAGTTAAATTTGTTTGGATCTTAACATGTTTTGTACTATTATTCACAAAGAAAAAAACCTAAATTATACATCATAAGAACTTTTTGATTTTCTATATATGTATTACGGGGATTCTAAATTTTCTGTTTCTTTATGTAATTCACTGATGATCAGGTGGGTACAGTTGGGGGTGGAACTCAGCTAGCATCTCAATCAGCTTGCCTAAACCTACTTGGAGTGAAGGGTGCAAACAAGGATTCACCAGGGTCAAACTCAAGGCTGTTGGCCACCATTGTAGCTGGTTCTGTTCTTGCTGGTGAAATATCTCTAATGTCTGCCATTGCAGCTGGGCAGCTTGTGAAAAGTCACATGAAGTACAACAGATCAAGCAAAGATATCACCAAGGTAGCCTCCTAAGAGGAACAAACAGACTAGACCACCATAGCAATAAAATCCCCATGAAGGAGCTTTGGAAAGGGGCCGGGTGGGTGGGATAGTCGGGATGTATCGCTTTAGATCTCCTTTGATACATTTTTTTTTTAAATTTTCTCTCCCTTAGATTACTTTTCATGAATTCAAGTGAAACTAGAACTATATTATTGGATCTCTCATCGATACACCATGGATAATGTCCCATTGAGAAAAATAATATCGAAGGAGAACTAAGTCCGACAAGGGTCTGGGAGGTAAGACAAGGACAGGCCATGCATGGGAGAAGTAAAAATACAATCCAAAGAAAGACTGTTGTGTATGCTTTTGGGTAACGAGCCATGTGAGGCAGGGTGTGAGAGACTGCACTTGCTGTGAGGTGTTTGGAAGGAGGGTAGGTGGCTATACCATGGGGTTCTGTGTACTATCTTTCATCTGTATTATCTTTCATTTGTTGTTCAAAAGTTACTTTTGTCACTCTGTAAATGAGAATGGTTTTACTTCGAAAATTGCATGCAACACCTAACCTGTCCATGCACCACATGAATCCATGCATTGTAAAAAGGTCATGGTCTACCAAATATTGGAAACAAAATTACTAGTAAGGCACAGACTAATATAAAAAATCGCTAATTAAAAAAAATATCTAATTTAGATAAATTCTTAAGTTCTTCGGCAGACACCTTAACAGTGAATAAAACCAATTGAAATGAACCACTTTCCCATTAGAGTAGTTAATTTAATTGATAAAATTTATTCTAAATTTAGTGAGAGAATTAAGGGTTTGATATTTTAGGGGTAAGATTGTCTTCTCACTTTATATTTTTGGAGTAAATTAGTTTTAAAATGTAGTGTTACTATACATGGGCATTTTTGAAACTATATAATTTTTGTTAGCGGGTGTAATTTTCTTTCGTTGGTGATATTGATAGTCATTAGGCAAAGTGGGTCCATAAGGGACTGTAAGCAGGGGTGGAGTTAGAAATTATGTCTAGGGTGAGCACTTTATTAAAAAAATTTAATTTTTTTTTCTAATCAATAAAAATAAAATAATATATTCATATTTACTATATTGTATTCAATACTTAAAAATTCATAAAAGATGAAAAAGATGAAACTTCGAAAAATATAGCATACATAAATAAAAACAAACAAAAAAAAGAGGCTAATTATACCCCTTCATAACAAATGAAACAACTGCATAAAATATACTATAATATTTCTCCATATATATGATCAAACTATTAGTCATTGATCACTCATTTAATTAAGTAACCTAGTTGCTATAATTTCTATAGCTTTTTTTTTTATTGAAATTTCTATAGTTTAAAAAAAATGAGTTCGACATGTCAAAAACTTGCATAGATGTATCTCTAAAGTGTCCAAAATGTATCAAAAAATTCATAATTATTTAGGTACAATGACTATACTAATTGATAGAATAAAAAATGATAGAGTGGACATACTTAAATATACTTCAAATTATTTGAAATATACATAAGTAATATTTTAAAAAAAATTTGAGGGTGGGCATCCCCCAGCGCGGGTCCTCAAGTAGCTCCGCCCTTGATTGTGCGAGAAATTTACCCATGTTTTTTTTTTTCTCTAAAGTTGTAATGCGAGAGAATTAGAGTAATGTAAAGTTTATCAAATTATTTGCTAAATTGCCACCAAGTAGGGTGGTCTAGTGGGGGGTACCGACTTTACTCCTCACCTTGAGGTTAAGAGTTCGAGTCTTGGAGTCCTCATTGAGGCTTGATGGTTTGCTGCTATGCTAGCTTAATTAAGTCTGGTCCCGAGATGTGTTCCACCGGTTAGGGCCTATCAGGGTGGTCGCTGCACACTCTTCCTTGTCTCCGCCCCTTTTTTAACTAGCAAAAAATAATAATTTGTTTACTAAATTTTGTATCCCAAATTAATATAAGTGATTAGATTAGTGGGATCTATTAATTTTATCAAATATTAAATACATGAGATTATAACACATGACTTAAAATATAAAATTTGATTAATAAATTTAAGCAGCAGAGTTTATCCAGAGAATTAGGGCTGCACATATAAGAAATATTTTATGCAAATCAAGGCATTGAATTGTGCGCTGGTTCATTACAAACAGAGAGTAATGGACAGGAAAAATAGAATATTCCTTTGAAAATTTATAATATAAAATAGGATATAATCTATCCGATGATTGCAAATAAATTTATTCAAATGTCACTAACATTTTTTTTAAAATTATTTAGATTGAATTTTTTTTCTCCAAATCTATTATTTCTCAGTTACTTTATATTGTACCTTCAGACATGAATTATCTTTAATTTTATATAAATTTAAACCATAAAAAAAAATATGTTTATATCTTCAAAGAATTTAAAATTTTTGTGTGTATGCACGCACTTTCTCGTGCTGCCCCGAATATAAGAAAGAGTAATGCTATAGAAATTTTATTTAAAAATTTTGTTTAAAAATTTAATGATGTAGTTTTAATACAATTAATAAATTAATTATAAGCTTCAAAGTTAGAAGAAACCACGACGAACCCAATTATTATAAATTATTAAATCTCTAAATAAAGTGTCTAAATAAGATCTAAATAACATTTTCCCTTATTGAGAAACCTACGCAGCAGCTTCTGCACTGCTAATAGGTTTCAGGGTCTACTCCCAATTATGTCATCAGGTACGGTCCACTCTTATTATTATTGTTTATTTTTGGAACAGGGGAGAGGGTCCACTCTTATTGAGTCTTGACAGTAGTAATTTTCAAGAAGATTCCTTCACGAGGACAAACTTATCTATACTAATAATAAAATTATATTGCGTAAAAAAAATTTAATTCATTATTTTATCTTTATAAAAAATTCTAAAAACTAACATATCTTTTTATATTTAAATATGTAGATTATCATTATATTCCTCTATATTTAAATAATAAATTAATCTCTAACATGTCATATAAATTTATATATTTGCAAAACTTTTAGATAGTCGTGTTATTTTTAATAGGATATATAAAAATATTAATTTTTTTTAAAACCCTAATATTAATACACATCCACAATTTCATTGATACAATGTTATCTCTGGTTCCAAAATTTGATATATGTATTTTTTCTCTTCATTCATAATACAAACAATTTAAGAATGATAAATATGAGATACTATCTAATTTAACTATATAAATAAATTTTTATATATTTTATCAAATATTTTAACAAAAACTTTCACGTGCAACGCACATGTTGCATTGCTAGTGATATTAAAAAGGAGTTGTCTATGGTTTAAAAACAAATTCGTTAAAGTTACTTTTAGGTGTAAAAAAATAATTTTGCAGTATCATACGAAAAATTGTCTCCCAATTATAAAATTTAGTTTGAATTATTTGTAGTTATTGATTGAGAAAATAATAAATCATAGAAAACAATATAATAGGATACTTATCATACTTTCAACTTGTTATGTTTGATTGGATTAATAAAAAAAAATGATACAAAAACTATTTTTTTAATACCATAGCACAACCCCATTAACACAACATGAAACTGACATCAAATTAATGGGTCAAGCTAGCCTAATAATAAGAACTCAAAAATGATACAACTTGCTTCTTAAATAATAAAACGATCTAATATTCTCAAACACAATTAAGTTGATTTTGACACAAAACAACCCACATATCAGATATTGTGTAAACAAAATTGCATGATTGCTTTTTCTTGGTTTTCCGAGATGTTTTATTTTATCAAAATTATTTTTTTCTCAGAATGATTTAATTGTTCTTCTCAAAATATGCTCACATCTCTAAAATATATCAATTTGTTTTTAAAGCGTAGAAAATGTGTAGTACACTAACTCAAAAAATTCGCGGTCATCTCCTTAAGGAACAATGACAATCCGAATGATGATGTATTGGAAAAAAAAATAAAAAATCTTGATTTTTGGAGAGTTGGTAAAAATAATAACTACTGTAATGAAATCAAATGGAAAACAATCGGTTAATCCTTATAAATCAACTCACTATAATCAAGCTATTCGATTCTCATTTATAATTCATCTGAACTTATAATCAAATTTGCTCGAACGGAAAATATTCAACTAAAACCAAATTTAAACAATATGTAACTTTGTGGAAAGAAAACAGGAGCCAAAAAGATAAATACTTCGATGTATATATGACCTTCAAGCATTATCCGTGCCGAAAGATTCGTCAACGAGAAATCAAAATGGTCACATAATAATGAGTTTTCGAAAGTGGTTTTTTCCTATTACAAAACATTATTTCAGTTAGAATTCATTAGAGAATCAATATTGCTTAATTACTGATGGTACCATGAATATGCCCAGGGTTGAGCTCGATAACACAGGTCATGCTTTCTCAGGTCGGGAGCTTAACTCAACCAAGTTACCTATAAATCTTGACTTCAGACTTCAAACTCCCTATTTCTGCTTCTCAAGGAAGGCTGATAGTTGCAGTCCACCAAATACCCCCTCAACAACAACAGTTATTTATCAGGCGCAAGTCTCGTAACCGCCCCAACACCCACCGTAGCCGTTGTGCAATAAAGGCAATCGTTACAGGGAAGAGGCAAGGATCTCGCCTCAAATCAAGCTAGGCCCAGGGACAACTATAAATATGAGGCAAAGCCCTCAACAGAAAGGACAAGCAATTGTAGACTCATTTCCATACTCTTTGTAAAACCCCATTATCAATATACTCCCTAGGAGTAAGACTCTCTTGAGAATGGATTAGTCGAGCTCCCAAATTGGTGAACCACTATAAACACTTTGTGTGGTAACCTCATTTCCCAGATCCTATTCCCAAGAGCCTTGGAGCTCAGATTGAACTAGATCAAACTGTTCATTGCACTTTGCATTCACTCCTCTGCTCAGTCGTGTTTATAACAACATCAGTTGGTGCCATCTGTGGGACAAATCCCACAAAAAGGGATGCAATGAAATACTGTGAGTACCATAGAGATCATGGTCACCTCACTAACGACTGCATCTAGTTAAAGAAGGAGATCGAGTTCCTAATTCAGCGAGGGCAACTGCGCTGCTTTGTGGCACAAGACAATCAGAATCGACCTCACCCACCCTTGGCACCTCAGCAGCAAGTTCATGCACAACATTAGCAACCTCTGGGGGATATCAAAGTTATATCTGGAGGATTTGCTAGAGGTGGTGAATCCAGCTCGGCCAAGAAGGCTTACATGCTTAAGGTTCGAGCTGAAGAAGTTCTGGAGGTGTAAGTTGTGTTCAAAGCACCTTAACTGTGCATGGACATCACTTTCTCGAATGCAAACTTGGAGGGTTGCCAACATCCCCACGATGAACCTTTGGTGGTAAGGGTCATCATCGCCAATAGAACCATCCATCGGGTTCTAATTGGTAATGGGAGCTCTGTCGATATCATCTTCGCATCCACATTCGACAAGATGGATATAGGCAGAGACACACTCAAACCAGTAAAGGCATACCTTCTAGGATTCTTAGGGGAAAAGGTGCTACCCCTGGGCTTAATCTAACTTGTTCTCACTATGGGAGATACACCCTGCCAGTCCATCACC